TGTTCCTGAAGCAAATCATTTTGATGTTGGTTATTATTTATTTATCAAATCACAAATTAATGATGATCTAAAATATTCTTTATTAACTAATCACTTCAAACCAGATAACAAGTACAAATTTCCAACATTGAAAGGAGAAGACCGAAATCGTCATTTTCAGTTAAAATGGTTAACTGAAAATCCATTTCTTGTTTATTCGCCATGTATTGAAGGATGCTATTGTATTAATTGTGTTTTATTTCCTAACGTATTCGGTCAATCATTAGGTGTTTTTGTTGAAACACCCTGTTTTCTATACAAACATTTAAAACATTATTCAAAAACAGTTAATCGTCACTCAAAATCACAATTTCATAGAGGATCAACGATGTGTGCTGATAATTTCCGACGCACATTTGAACAACCATCATTATCAATCGTTTCATTGATTGACAAAGAACGATTTGAATTAATTGAACGTAATAAAGCAGTACTGTTATCAATCATTAAAATTGTTATCACTTGTGCTCGTCAAAATATGCCATTACGTGGTCATCGTGAAGAAAAACTAATTGATATACGTAAAACATTAAATTGTGTTGACTCATCATCTGGCTCTAATTTCGTAGCTTTACTAAAACAACGTGTTGATTCAGGTGATGAAGTTTTAAAATGTCATTTAGAAAACGGACCAAGAAATTCATCATTTATAAGCGGGTTAGTTCAAAATGAAATAATTGAATGTATACATGAAACTATATTGAAAAATATTTTACGTCGAAGTAAAGACTGCGTCTATTGTATTATTGTTGATGAAACAACCGATACATCAACTACTGAACAAATTAGTTTTTCTTTACGATATTATGATGAATCAACAAACGATATTCGTGAAGATTTTATTACATTTATTGATACTGTTTCATGTACGGGTGAATCAATTGCTAATATAATTCTTGATTATTTAAAACGTTATGGTTTACCACTTGACAATTGTGTACATTTATATACATGCGCGATATCTTTGTTTGTTCGGGGCAAAAACAAGGAATAACTATAAATCATAAAAAAGCAAATCACGCTCTAATAATAATCGAAGAGCACTTGATAACTAATATCAATATACATATGTATACATCTTACCTGTCTGACATAGTTGGTGTTTCCCCCATCATGATATGCTGTTTCTGAGCAATAATATAATGTGATGTTACGCATCCTCTATCAGTCAAGAAAGTGTATTTTTCTCACGGTTAAATGAAAACAAGATTGAATAGTCTGATCTGACTTCGCTTCAGGCTTTTGTGCAATTTATAAAATCGGTTTCCTTTTTCGTTTTTTAATTTGAAAGTCTCTCTCTCTCTGCGCGTTTTTTCTCCTATAATAACTCAACCTCATGTATTATTTAAGCGTGTGGATGAGTGCGGGAGAGATTTTCAGATTAAAGAACGAAAAAGGAAACCAATTTTATAAATTGCAAAAAAGCCAGAAGCGTAGTTACACATTCACCCATACGCTAAAATAACACATGCAGTTAAGTTACCATAGGAGAAAAAACACATACACTAATTCAGCATACGAGATGCAGCACGCGAAGTATCTAAATTCAATTCAGTAACAATTCTAGTATCTTTTCATTCTATTTATTCTGTATGTAGTTGGATCAGAGAAATGATTTCTCTGATCCAACTACATACAGAATAAATGGACTAGTTAATAATAGTATACTAGTTCATTTTCGTGACGAAAATAAACTAGTAAAATAAAGAAAAAACAGCAGCAAAGTAGAAGCAGAACGTTTGTAAGTAACAAAGTACAAAATAATATCATTTATCAAGACGTATTAGCTAATCAAATATATGGACTGTAAAAGATATCTGAGCGAAAGAAAATGAATTTAAATAAGATAGCAGCCTAAAAACAACAACTTCAGTTTAGAAAGTAACAAATTCGTAACAGCAGAGAAAAATGTATATGAATTTGATTCAATTTTGATTCGTGTTAGACGCCTGTCAAAATCAAATATCAACTTTTATCGCTGTAGAAAGCAAAAAACTTTCGCTAGCAAAATTATACATCAGTAATAGTAAGAAGGGACGATACTGACCAAATGTGATTCACGACGATTCTTCTAGTCATTTTGTACGTTGAAAGGAGATTCGATGATGTCTCACAATAAAGACTAGGACATATAAATAAAATTGTTTTGGAAGAGAGTGACAAATTCTGATTATTAATATGAATTATAAAGTACTTTTAGGTACTACTAGCACTACTGTAGATGCTTTACTAGGAAACTCTTTATGGACTGACTGTTTATTCATATACATTTTTCTCTGCTGTTACGAATTTGTTACTTTGTAAACTGAAGTTATTGTTTTTAGGCTCCTTCCCTCTAGATAATAGCGATGAAACCGTTCTCGTGGAGAGATAAAGAAGCACTAAAATGGTTACAAGAATTCGTAAAACGCTAAAGCGTTTCCCACGCATGTTGAAGTTTTATTGTGTTTTTTACATTTTTTCGGGTTTAATATTTAATTAGTATGAACAGACAATTTGTTTCAGCAAGTAATTAGGCGTGAATACGAAGCAGTTTTTATTCTCTCTTAGTATGAATAAACGGCTCATTCTCAATTGAGATCACTTTTTATAATTAAAGAAATAAAAATGATCTCCGTTTGGAAATGACATATTCTATCCATTTTGAAAAGTGATGCTCAGTTTGTAAAACGAGCTTGCAGCTCCTATTTTAATAAAATATAGATTCGTGTATCATACATTCGCTTTAAATGTGTTTTATTTTGTAACGATCCAGCCCCTTATCCAGTTTTGATTTTTTCATCACTAACATCATTACAAGTTCCCAATGATGATCCACACTGGAATGCAGATGGACATTTAGAACGTTACCAATACTATTCTATCCAAACTAGGCTATTTATACATGGGACGAATTCAGCCTGAAGTCAGTTGTTTTTGCTGCATTACCACAGAAGGACGAGGTGTCGTATCAGATACTATAAAGCGCACTAACAACTAGTTTAAGAATCCATATTTTAATAAAGTTTTCTTTGTAGCCATACAAAGTTTTCACTTCACTCTATGTATTTTATACAGTTTATGAATCTATATTTTACTAAGATAGGACCTACAATCTCGTTTTTTAAACTGAGATCACTTTTCAAAATTGATGGAATATGTCATTTCCAAACTGAGATCATTTTTATTTCTTTAATTATAAAAAATGATCGCAATTAAGAAGCCCCGGAATGAACAGTACTAAATGCAGACTAGATTTTTGCTTTTTTCGTTATGGTTTCTTTTTTATTTAAATTCATTTTCTTTCGCTCAGATATCTTCTACGGTCCATATATTTGATTAGCTAATACGTCTTGATAAATGATATTGTTTTGTACGTTGTACTTTACTTACAAACGTTCTGCTTCTAAGCTTAGAAAAAAATCTTTGTTATTATAGGTTGTCATGTGATTAAATATTTTTTGAAAATTTGCGAGACATACACCAAACGGATCATATAATATTATGAATTCCATTTTTTTCTGTTCTAATGCAGAAACGTAAGAGAAACATTTATACATTTATATACATGCGCAATATCGTTGTTTGTTCGAGGCAAAAACAAGGAATAACTATAAATCATAAAAAAGCAAATCATGCTCTAATAATAATCGAAGAGCACTTGATAACTAATATCAATATACATATGTATACATCTTACCTGCCTGACATAGTTGGCGTTTTCCCCATCATGATATGCTGCTTCTCAGAAACAGTATAATGTGATATTACGCAGCCTCTATCCGTCAAGAAAGAGTACTTTTCTCATCGTTTTTAATAAAAAGCAAGATTGAATAGTCGGATCTACGAAAACAAAACCGACAATACAGGGTTGCGAGAAATGTTTTGCCCGGGGAGTATAGCTTCAATGACAAATGATATCAATATTGAATTTTATACCAAATGAAAGCTCGTGAAAAATGGGGTTAACAGGTACAGTTAATAATCCGATAGACTATTGCCACCTATATAGAACGAAGTGAATCTCTAGATAAAGGCGAATCCTGGACCGGTCAATATTTTCGTGACACAGTTTTAGTTCAACACGTGTTTCCTTTTCTTGAGAAATGAAGAAAACGTGATTGACGTGGATGAAGTCATATTTGTTCACGATAAAGCACCGTGTATGAAAGCAAATATGACTCAACAATTGATAAAAGACAACAATATCAAGTTTTGGGGTAACATTATTTGGCCCGGAAATTCACCTAATCTAAACGTAGCTGAACACATTGGAACAATAATCAAAGATGAAGTTGATAAAAGAATGCTGTCAGAGACTGGAAGTGATCGGTATAGCGAAGAAACATTGAAAAAATATATCGTCGATGTTTTGCAAAACATGGAAACAGACACAGAACTTTTTGAAAACCGTTTACGTTCATACCCCTCAAGATTACGTGCTGTGAAAAAAGCGAACGGTGGTCACACAGATTATTGATTATGCTAATGAACTTCAAAAAGAATAAACATTAAACTAATAAATCTATCAGTTTAAAGTCAAAT